AACGGGAGTATTTTAAAGTCATAGCGTAAACGAATTTTAAGAACGAACAGAACCCCTAAAACGAATCGGACATTTAATTTTTAGTGCGTAATGCCATAAACGAACTTTTTCAAAAGCAAGAATAATAACTGACATTTACTTACGATATAAATACTATATCTAGATATATACATATAGCATTTAAAATTACATAAACAATAAAGGAACATTTTACATATATGTGGAAAATTAAGTCTTTGGTTTTTGAAATATTTTCAGAAGGGATGTCGGACAAGACCTTTCTTTCTGACCATTTGAAGAATATATTTTTTTGATCTTAAGTGCGTTTTGCATTTCCTGGTAACACTTCATTCTTTAGTTTACCGATTCCTTTCTAGTAACGGTCTTTGATCGCCTTGCGGATATCTACATACTTCGCCGAAAACCTCCTTGAGTCGCAGCGGAACTTTGCACTTGAGACAACGACAACCCTTGAGATTACTTCATGACCTCTCAATCCGGTTTCAGTTTACATCGGTCTGCTTTTCATGTGAATGGGGAAGAGGAAGTCGTTCCGAGAGCTGGGCAAGTGTTAATTCCCAACGGGACACTATAAGTTCTTGCATCCTCTTCTCATATGAATCCACTTGAAGCTGGAGGACACGCCCTAGGATCGGGAATTGGCTGTTTTCGTCGAAATGGGGACTTAAAGAGATGGTTTTAAGATCCCAGATTAGATTGCGGGTGTAGGACTTGGAAATGTGTGACCCAACGGGCCTTTTTTTATTTTAGTCTAATGAAAGACTGAGCATAAAAAATGGATGTATATTTTGTATACAAAGTTAAGTTCATTAAATAAGAAAGTAATTTCATATTCGTCAGTTTTATTTTAATGATATGAGGGCAAGTTCTCTGATCACAAATGACATATGTTTGATGCGCGATCAAAGGCAAATTATGTTATGTACTGAAACAAATCATTCACAGCATGACTCCCATCATGATGGCGGTGTCCAAAATGCCACCGCCATGGTACACCCTTTTGCCAGGCACGGGGTCAGAACCAAAGAGAGATGCGATCTGGAAGAGATGCGGGCAGACCACAAATTGGTCAAAGTTGGCGATAGCATCAATTCGACTTGATGGCGGCGCCTTTTGTATAGTTTGTCCCTCCCTTGGTTGGCACACTGGCAACTGACTCAATCTGGATGGATCTGAAACTACATATTGGGTGTGAAATGCAATGCTCTAGGACTACTTTTAATTCTAAAACCCTAGACCTATACTAGCAGTGACGTTACTGACTATATAAGGCTTCCCAACCTGAAAACTTTTTTAAGTAACTGTCCGATTTAAAGAATTGTAGGTAGGTCTTCGTCTTCATATATTAAACAATTAATGTTGGGATTACTAGATCGAGATTAAATATACTTTACGTAAAAATAAAATACTTAAGATGAGAAAACAAAATTTCGTTTTGTTATCATTATTCTGCAGGCCTAGTATACAAAATCGTCGCTCAATACCAAAAACTTCTTGGTTTTGGACGACTTTTTGTTGGGTTGAATATTAGGCCTTAATAAGTAGGACTCTTATTAAATACAATTTGATTATTTGATATTCTATATTTCGTAACCGCTATAAGCTATAATATACTAAGGATCATCGAGATATCTCAAATGAGAGCTGTAAAACTTAATGTAACCCTAACTTTACTGAAACTAAGATCTGCACGTGGCTTAATCAATTATTAGGGGGAATGCTAAGTTAAGACATCAATTGGCAGATGTACCCATTCGCGGATACGCATATTCAGATTAATCTGGCAGCTTGTATCTGCTACCCGCAGATAAGACAAGTAGCTATGTATGCAGATCGAATTCGCTGGGCTGGGCCAAACATCGGACGGTCTGCGTGGGCCTGTTTCCTCCGCCGCGGTTGCCCTGCCTCATCCTCACCTGCCCACGGAGATTGCATTTGGCCCGTTTGCACTGCGACTGCGTGTTGCACCTTTTCCGCTGCCTTATACTTCTACCTGTGATCCCCCAGCGGCAGCTTTAATGATCGTGATCATAGTACGCAACGCGCAAAAAAAAGAAGAGAAAAATAAAAGAAGAGCCAAGATGACGAGGGAGAGCCAGCCGAAAACCAATCGATTATTATATGTGCCGCACTATATTTCAGAGACCGAGGACTGTGGCCGATGCAGAGTTCCAGCAAAGAGATTATTTTTATTTTCGATGGCCGCCTTGACACGTCCAAAAGACTGATAGAGGGAGAGATTGGCCCTTTTTGGCCAAACCGGTTTGACAGGTAGAAGAGGCATAAGATGTGGTGAAGAGGGTCGGGGGTTCGAGGGACGCACGCCTTGCCCTTCTGCCCGCCAGGATAATGACTGTACGACTGCGAGAGTCCTCCGCAGGAGGCCCATGAATTCGACTAGGGTCTTTTCCCTGCACTGGGAAAAAAAACTCTGGGATTTACCGAACAGTATATGGATATTATGAGTTAACAATTCAATTGTTTTTGGATTCAAGCTATTTTAAGTCATGACCCTAACGGTTAATAATATCTATCGGATATTAAATTTTAATTTCGTTTTCTTGTTCGCTCTAAATTTTTATATATTTTCTAAATTTCTTCATACATTATGTTTAGATAGCTTAAATCATTAAAAATCACTTTTAAAGTTAACATTTACATTACATATTACATTTTAATTTTGTTTTCTCGTTTGCATACTAAACTAAAAGTATGTCTTACACTCTAAATCTTCATATGTTTTCTAGAGTTTAAACCTACTATTAGTTTTACAGAAGAGAAACCTACCCGTACAATTTTACCACCAATTTTTTTTAAAGCATATGGAATATCAAGCTTTGTAAGTCAAGTCAAGATATGTAGGAGCAGTATACTTTCTCCATTTCACAAATATAATTACTTCTATAGTTCTTTATAAAAAATCTAAGTCTGTAAGTTACATTTGGAAGATGTTTTGTACTCGGAGCACTATTAGTATGGGTTAGTTATTTCGTAAGCTCCTATGTACATGTATGTACACTATAATGTACATTGTACAATATGTATTAAAACCCATGAAATGAATAACATCATCAATATGTTACTTAAATGTTAAAAAAACTGATTATTTCTATGATCCACCATGCAACGAATACTTTTGTGACTGGCTGCATTTAGAAAATATCAGTGGTATAAGAAAAACTGGTTATTATTTAACTAATTAATAATTTTTATAAAACTTGTTACTTTTGTATTATTTATTTTTATTTTTTTATAACTATTGGTAATGATTTTTTCTTAGTGTAGCAAACCTCCTCAACTCCAGGATGCTGATATCAGTGCGTATGTTTGAGGGTGCGGGTGTGAGCGTTTCGGGGTCAGGTAGCAGCTCAGATTTTCCCATGTCCTAGGGCCTTTCTCAATTTCGATCCTGTCCCTTTTCTTCTATTTTTTTAGAAGGCAAAGAAGACGGCGGCGTTTTCCTTTTTTAGGGGGCAAAGGCAAATGCACAAGAGAGAGTGCATGGCTTTCCTAGTATCAATAACAATGCCCGTTCGCTATTGTTGTGCCATCCGTTGGATTTGTGCATCCCAATCTGTTTCTGTTTCTGTGTGTGCGGCAATGTATTTTTCTTCTTTTTGGAGTTATCGTTAATATTTTCCTGGAAACCGGGATTGTGTTGTTGTTGCTGCGTTCGCAGGTAGCGAGCAGCGATCGCACTCACACAGATGCGCCAGAGGGAGAAAGAGCGAGAGAGAGAGAGAGGGGGAGAGAGAGAAGACAGGTACCTGCTCGACTTCGGAATGCAGCGGCAGCAGAAACAACAAATGCGTCGGAGTTTGGCATTGAGTTTGGTTCGGCGGGTAAAGAATAACCTGAAACTTGGAGCAGACCCAAAGATAAATCCAAGCCTGGTCTTATAACCAGCATTAGTCTCTCCGCCTTACGCTCTCGCTCTGTCTCTCCGGCGGTTTGAGTCTCTCAAGTCAGTGATGAGAGTGCTGACAAATCTAAAACTGTTTTAAAACAAGAAGGGAAGCTTACGTTATCAAGAATACTTCTAATCTAAAGCAGGGGTGCCCAAAGAAAACATAAACATATGTCCCGACTAGAAGCAGGAAAGAAGGCTTAATTCGCAAAAGTGTGAATTTTGCAAGCCAGACCAATGGGAAACTAAAATAGCAGCAGTATGAATTGAGGGGTCCGAGATGAAGAGTCGTTTTCCAGTCCGCAAGCTAAATTTAAAATACCATAAGTTATCTAGGCTTAAAACCATTAACAATTATCACATCGCCTCAAGGAACATCCTTATGTAATGATCAACTGAGTAAGTGTTTCAAATGTAGCTTATATTAAGGATCTAACTGTCTTGATAACTGTCTAAAATCGATTTAGGTTCAAATGCCAAATATAGAAAGTTAACAAATATTATTACAACCGATCAATAATAAATGCAAATAGTCTTTGTCAATTATATCACCCGCTCATAGGGATGTCAAGCTTTAATATCTAAGCAAGAGTAAGTGTTTAAAATGTAGCTTATATTAAGGATCTAACTGTCTTGATAACTGTCTAAACTCGCTTTGGGTTCGAAAACCAAGAGATAGAAAGTTAGCAAATCGATCATAATGAACGCAAATAGTCTTTGTCAATCATGTCACCCTCTCATAGGGATGTAAAGCTTCAATATTACACCAAAATGTTTTAAAACGTGTTACCCCTACATATATTAACTACATTTCGTGCCACCCACACTTTAAACCTAGCTTTAAACAAGCCGAACTGGCTATAAACCGCCGTTGACTCAGCATTCAGCTCGACACAACGAGAGAGAGAGAGAGCACAAAGAGCGTAAGCGAGAGTGAGCGCACTTTGCTACCTGCTCTGCTCCGCACAAACCTTATGGCTGAATACGCTCAGATAAATCCAATCCTCCCTCGCTCTCTCCGCTCCGAAAGGCGATGTTAATGTTTCTCCACCGTGGCTAAAAGCAAGGCGCCTCGGCGTTGCGAGTTGAGTTTTTCATCTTCGCCCGGTTCGCGCACATCGCTTCTGTCTCGGTCGCAAGAACGCATAATAATACAGAGACCCTCTGGGACTTGGGACTATCGACTATACCGACACTACAACTAACCACCATCAACCGACACGACGCAGTGCTCTCGAGTTACAGTGCAGCGCGCCGCGAGTGAACCACAGTGAACCCCCACTAGTCTTCAGCCCAGCATACAAACAGTAAAATGCAGCTTATATAGGGAAACTATAGCCAGAGTAGATCCAAAGTAGCAGTCAAGAGCAAAAGCCAAGTGTAAAACCAAGCGGAGGAGATGGCCACCAACACGGAACTGCTGCCCTTTCATCATCAGACGATCGCGGTGTTGAACAATTTGAATAGCCACTGTGGCGGCTCAGGGAGCAATGGAGCGGCCACCAGTGGCGGAGCGCCAGGAGCGGCGATTGGCGGAGGAGCAGGAGGCGGCGGAGGAGGAGGAGCGCCCAGCTGGGCCACCATGGATGAACTCTACCAACAGACTGAGCTGCCCGGACTGACGCGAACCGGGGCCACCACCACCCACCACCACCTGCTGCGCTTCACGCCCTACGCCCTGCACCACCGACCGCCTCACCACCAACTGCAGACCCTGCCCCCCGCGCTGTACTTGCAGCATGCCGCAGCAGCGGCGGCGGCAGCAGCAGCAGCAGCCGCCCACGCACAGCACCACCATCATCATCATCACCACCTACCGCACAGGCCCGCCTCGCCGGAGAGTCCGCCGCCGGTGGAGGGCACCCACATCAGCAATCTGTTCCCCGAGCTCCTCGAGCAGATCTTCGAGCACCTGCCTGTGCGGGATTTGGGGCGGGCGGCCCAGGTCTGCACCGCCTGGCGGGATGCGGCCTATGCGAAGAGCGTGTGGAAGGGCGTCGAGGCCAAGTTGCACCTGAAGCGCTCCAGTCCCAGTCTCTTCAATTGCCTGGTGAAGCGGGGCATCAAGAAGGTGCAGATCCTCTCGCTGCGCCGCTCGCTCAAGGATCTCGTTCTGGGCGTGCCCGCACTGACCTCCCTGAACCTCAGTGGCTGCTTCAATGTGGCGGATATGAATCTGGGCCATGCCTTCAGCGTGGACCTGCCCAATCTCAAGACCCTGGACCTCTCGCTGTGCAAACAGATCACGGACACGAGTCTGGGCCGGATTGCCCAGCATCTGAGGAATCTGGAGACCCTGGAGCTGGGCGGCTGTTGCAACATCACGAACACGGGACTGCTGCTGATTGCGTGGGGCCTGAAGAAGCTGAAGCATCTCAATCTGCGATCCTGCTGGCACATCAGCGATCAGGGCATAGGTCACCTGGCCGGCTTCTCGCGGGAAACGGCAGAGGGCAACCTGCAGCTGGAGTACTTGGGGCTGCAGGATTGCCAACGGCTGAGCGATGAGGCACTGGGTCACATTGCCCAGGGCCTCACCTCGCTGAAGTCCATCAACCTGAGCTTCTGCGTCTCGGTGACGGACAGCGGTCTGAAGCACCTAGCCCGCATGCCCAAGCTGGAGCAACTGAATCTGCGCTCCTGCGACAACATCTCGGACATTGGGATGGCCTACCTCACCGAGGGCGGCAGCGGGATCAATTCGCTGGACGTGAGCTTCTGCGACAAGATCAGCGATCAGGCCCTGACGCACATAGCGCAGGGTCTCTATAGGCTGAGATCCCTGTCCCTCAACCAGTGCCAGATCACCGATCATGGGATGCTAAAGATCGCCAAGGCGCTGCACGAGCTGGAGAACCTCAATATCGGTCAGTGCAGCCGGATCACGGACAAGGGCCTGCAGACACTGGCCGAGGATCTGACCAATCTCAAGACCATCGATCTCTACGGCTGCACGCAACTCAGCTCCAAGGGCATCGACATCATCATGAAGCTGCCCAAGCTGCAGAAGCTCAACCTGGGCCTCTGGCTGGTCAGGTGATGCGTCCACCACGATTGCAACGCCTGTGCGGCGGAGGAGGCCGCTCGCGGCTCTTATAATTCCCAACCATAGATTCCGGGCGGGAAAGAGAGGGCAGTAGATCGGTAGATCGGTAGATCGGCAGGCGGGGCAGGAGCAGCAGGGGAAGAAGCAGACAAGATACACTGAGAACTCATAGCTTTCGTTTGCCATACCACACGCTGTACTACATTTTTTTCGTACGAATCGAGAAACGAGCAGAGAGGCACAAAAAAACACGGCAACAACAAAAAGCAAACAATGAAGCACACACTCATGCACACACATACACACGCAAGCGGGCAAGGCAAGCGGGCGGAGTTGGGGCAAGAGGGTCAGAGACAGAAGGCGTCGGGGGAGAGTGCTGCAAGCTCAGCTTGTTTTTAGCTAGCAAAAGTTTAGAATCAGTTATAATTTAGAAAGGCATTTTTAATAAGGCCACTTTTGATGACTAATTATTTTACAGCTCATATAGACCTTTTAACACGACCAGAGTTTTTATTCCATTTTTTGTTTCACTTAGATGCTGTAAACACCATGGTAAGGTGTTGAACCATCATTTTTAAGCCCGTTCATTCTAATTTTGACCATTTACCAATTTTAAAATTTTAAAACTCAGCTTGTCTTAAAAGGTTCCAGCAAATAATTCAACTTTGTTTAAAAAGTGTATTCAAAAATTCGAAATTTCTTAAACAAGCGGCTTCCCGCTAGATCTAGCTAGTTTGCGGCCAGGGACCAGACAGCACTGTTCATGGAGCTCGCTCTGCTGCGTTGTGTTTTGTTGTGCTGTGCTCCTAGGGGGCCAGAGCGAGAGGGGAGATGCCGCTGGCGTCGGCTTACACGCACGCAGCGATAAAAAAAAAACAAAAAGAGAGAAAAAGAAACAGCGGACAACAACAACTGCAGCTATGGCCGACAGCAACAAAGTGCATGGCGATGGAGACGCGCGATAAGCAGCAGTAGAGAGGGGTAGTGGGAGGGGGGAGAGCCAGGAGAGTGGGCAGCACACATACAGAACCGGGCACGCATGTGTGTGTGTGTGTGCAATGCAGGCCGCAGTTAAGCAGATGCAAATAAATTTAAATAGTTTATTTTAATTCACGCTTCGGCTACAAAAGCCAGCGTCCTCCATTGCCACAGCAACAACAACTACAACAGCAGCGAGAATAACTACGATAAAAACAACAATGCAGAAGAGAAAAAAATAGAGGGAGTGTGGGGAATTAAAGCTCTGGCGACGGCGACTTGACTGACTCTCCCACCTCTCTTTTGTCGCTCTCCACCGCATTTTTCTTGCTTTGTGTGCTCCCTTTTTTTTTGTCTTTCGTGTTTGTATCTTTTTTGTTTTTGTGCCTCGGCGTTTTCTTCTCGTCTTCGTTGCGAATTTGTTTAGTACAGCGTCGTTAGTAATGCCGTTTAATTTAGTTGATTAAAACGTAAACGTAAAAAAAGTAACGAAAACTTAAGCAAAAACAATGTTAATAGTAGACACTTAATGAAAACGCGTAAACTTAATTCTTAGTTCTTAACATTTGTCAAGCCACAATTAGTCAAATAATGAAAAAGAGGGGAGAATAACCATTAACACAAGTTATAAAACCATAACAAAACAAAAAAAAACAACCTTGTTTAATAGCAAAAACTCACCCAAACACACACACACACACAAACAAACACTAAACACAAACGTTAAAGAAAATTCTGTAAATTTTTTATTGTTTAATTTATAAGTAAGCAAGCAAAAAGAGAAGATAACGATTGAAAAGAATGTGCGAATTAATTCTTTTTTCTATTGTGATATAAAATGTATTGTATAAAAAGGAAAACATAAACACAAGCAAACAAAAACTAATGCTAAAACAACAATTACGTAATTTTATTTAAGCAGCGACTAGCGGCAAGAGCGTGGATTAAATTAAATAAATTAAAATTAAATAAATATGTACAATGTTATGTTAAGTCTGGATTATTCCTACGATTCTCTGTTTTTGGATTAGTTAAATGAGCCCGATTCGATGACCTTTTGTTAAAACGCAATATACCGAATGCCTTAATTCCATTTGCAAGCTATATTATTAACTATGTTGATTCTGAAAAACACCTTGAGTTTCGATTGTGAGTTAGCCCTAGATCTAAGTTACTTCGACAATTGATATTTCTGTTTTAGGAGGCGAAACCCCCATAAAATTTTGAACGATACGATGACGTTGGCGATGCTGAAGATGGATGAAGAGAAAATAAATTAAATATGTATAAAAATTAAACAAATGCCAGAGATTTTATTGATTGCACTGGGGGAATGGGTTGAGTTGGCTGTTTATCTTGCTGGGCAAGTGCGTAAATGTTTTGTGGGAAATTTATTTTATTCGGCACCGCATGAAAGTGTGTGTGTCTGCATTTTGTAATGAACAAAGGGCCCAGCACTAATGCAATTGCAATGAAATGTGCAGCCAGCCAGAGATGCAGATGCCTATGTACAAACATATATACATACGTACGCACTACCAGATACACGAGCGTACATAGCATATGCGGTTATGCAACGCACACACACGCACACACTCACGCTCGACCGCCTATGTACTGCAATTATTTATATTGCCTGCATTATGTATAAGCATCGATGCATTTACAAACACTTGCATTTATATACACACACACTCACACATGTATAGGCGCAGCATCATATCCCTCCCTGCAGTACCATTCAGCGCTTATTGAGCACTCAATCACTGCAAAAAGCTCATCACTCAGCGCTCAATGAGCGCACAATTTGTATGGAGCTATGTGCTGAAATTAACATAGGCATGTCCTAGGGTTCATCAGTGCTCAAAAAATAGCACTCATTGAGCGCTTTTTTGAGCACCCTCCTGAGCGCTCGATTGAGCAGCTGAAAAAGCACACGTTCAGCACATGTTGAGCGCTCGATTGAGCAGCTGAAAAAGCGCACGTTCAGCACATGTTGAGCGCTCGATTGAGCCGCGATAAAAGCACACATTCAGCACACGTTGAGCGCTCATTCAAGCAGCGAAAAAGCGCACTTTCAGCGCACGTTGAGCGCTTAGCAGCAAAAAAAATTTCAGTTGTAATTTTTATTTTTATTTGTTTATTTTAAAAATTGAGCTCGGGGGTTTCCGGTGTTATCGGGGTCGCTGGCACCTCCTCCTCAGCATCTGGTTTTTAACGCACCGCATTGCCTTCTGCAGCGCCTTTTCGGGAGGCTCCGAGGGATCGACCATGGCGATTGCATCTAGTATTAGAAAAAAATTAGTTTTAAAAATAAAACAAGACGAGAATAAAAACGAGTGACCGAAAGTAATCGTTATTTGTAAGATTTATTTATAATAAAAGAAATGTTATCTTTGGCATTCAATGTAAAAATCCCAGAAGTCTTTTAAAAATTAAACTTACAAACAATAGTTACTTTCAGCCTCAATAAAAACTTACTTAATAAGTAAGTTGTGGGACAGAACAAGTTCCTCGGATAATATGCTTAAGATGGAACGATTTAGCCTTCCATTTTTTTATAGATTTACCTTCAGCCTTGTCTAAAAATATAAGAAAATGCAAAAAATATCGAGAAGAAATTAGCAAACTTTTGTTTTCGGTCACTTGATTTATTTTATTTTGTTGTAAACAATTTTTACGAAAAATAAACCACACATTATTTATGTATTTTATATTATTTATTAAAACATTTATTTATTTTGCAGTTGCGGAAAAAAATAACACTTTTCCAGGAACTGAAAATTGGAGATGTTTGAGATTTTTATTTAAATACGTACACAAAAGTAAGAATTGTTGTTAAATGTTATTAATATTCATTTTTATCGAATTTTAACCACAAATATAAGTTTTAAAAACAAACATCTCTTATTTTTTGTCCCTAGAAACTTTGCACTCAATAAGATTTTTAAATTCTTTCACAGATTTGTTTATTATATGCACCATTTGTTGCTTTTCACGTCAAAAATTAATATTTTTCACAGCTATTTTTTTCCGCCACGTGTTATTTTGGGAATCTTGTATTTCCCTTATTTTTAATATAGATTATCTTGTTTTTTACTCTCACTGTTTTCAATATTATTAGTCTGCGACAGACTTACCTGGGAATCGTTTCTTTTTCACTTTTAAGGCACTAATTTAATTTAATTTAGTAAATTGCTTCAACTTCTAACTCCTTCACTAAAGTAAACGCAAGTGAAAAGACGAAAAAAGGCGCGTGCCTTCCAGAAAAACAACAAGCAACAACAACAACGGTTCCGCTAAGCCGTTGTTGTTTTTTTTGCATGTCCCGTTTGGTCTATGCATCTTGCACATAAAAGCAGGGTATTTATAGACATATTCGACTATGCAAATCGGTTTATAAAAATATATTTTTAAAACTTTACATATTATTAAATTATATTAATAAACATATAAATTTGTTTAAGAAATACAAATATTTTAAAACAGAAACCTATTATTTTAAATCGTTGTTTTATCATTTACGAACAAATGTCGCACTATTCAAAAGGCAAGGGTGCACAAAAGTCTATATATTTTAGTTGCTGGGCCTCCTTCCCATCACACGCACTTTTCCGTCTGAGACATGGAGAGAGAGGGAGAGCCCAAAATTACTTTTTGTGCGTTCTCTTTGCGGACCCGACTGAGAGCGCGTCGCTTTGCGCTCAGCTCTGCCGGCGTCGCTGGCTTCTCTGCCGACGTCGCAGTCGGCTTCGTGATGATTGGGCGCTTAACTCAATTGTGGAACTGCAGGGCTGTGTACACATAACGGTTTTACTTGCTTGCTAACTGCTTAAATTTGCATTAAATGTGCGTATGCATCAAGAGCTGTGTGTGTGTGCGTGATTATGTACACAAACGCACACTCCCACAAAGGTACATATGGATACATGGGGAAACCACCCAATCGGAAATTTTATTCAATCGCTGGGACCCCAAAATTAAAGCTTTAAACAGCCCGAAGCATCTTTGTCCACGCCTCGGAACTCGGATTCGCAATTTAATGCAAAGATCCGATTTGCCAAGAGGTTAAATTGATGATGGCCTGCTGTCCAAAGGGTTCCTGCTTGGTTTCTGCATCATAATGCCATGGAGGAGTCGAAAACTGAGGAATCCTAAAGATTCCATTTAATCTATCGACGTATGAAGGATGTTGCTTTAAAGGATCGGAACTGCAGGAAGGTTTGTTACCAAACACTGGCTCAAAATAGCCTGATACCTGATATCTGATATTGCCATGGAGGAGTCGAAAACTGGTGAATCCTAAAGATTCCTTTTAATTTATCGACGTATAAAGGATGTTGCTTTAAAGGATCAGAACGGCAGGCAGGTTTGTTAAACAAACACTGGCTCAAAATAGCCTGATACTGGGATTCGCAATTTAATGCAAAAATCCGATTTGGCAAGAGGTTAAAATGATGATGGTCTGCAATGCGAAGAGTTCCCGCTTGGATTCTGCATCCTATTGCCATGGAGAAGTCGAGAGTGGAGAAATTCTTAAGTTTCCATTTAATCTATCAACGTTTAAAGGATATTGCATCAAAGGATCAGGACGTAAAGAAGGTTTGTTTCACAAAAACTGACTCGAAATAGCCCCATACTTGGAATCGTAATTAAGAGGTTTCGTAATTTAAAGGATACGTTGATGATGGTCTGCAATCCAAAGAGTTCCCGCTTGGTTTCTTCATCGTGTTGCCATGAAAAAGTCGATAATTGGGAAATCCTTTAATTTCCGTTTAATCTATCGACGTACAAAGGATGTTTGTTTTACTAAAACTGGCAATCTGAAGAGTTCCCGCTTTGTTTCTGCATTGTATTGCCATGGAGAAGTCGAGAATTGGGAAATCGTTAAGTTTCCATTTAATCTAAGGAAGTACAAAGGATGTTTTATTAACGGATCAGAACTTAAGGTAGGATTGTTTTACAAAAACTGACTTCAAATAGTCTCTGCTTGATACATTTGCAATGCAGCACTCCAATGCTGCATTTTCTGTAAAAATAAGAAATCCAACTTTTATAAGAATTTAAAAGAATGTATGGTTACTAATAAAACAGATACACTGCCAAAACTTCCCACGAGATAAAAGGGTTTATCCTAGTTCTTAAGCTTAATGTTATATGGCGCATTGGGGTATGTTGGAAAAAAAGAGTTATTCATTGTGGTGTTCTGTATACACATACTTATATACGAGATGTCCCAGTTTCGGATTATCTATGCAATGAAAAAGTTCTCAACTTGGGGGATTCTAGTTAGAACTATCCCAAGTCACTTAGTTTCTAATCTGAAAGTACAATAACTTTTCCTAAATCATTAAATAAATACTGGATTTGGAAATTCCCCTTCAGATACCGCGGCCCCTTATTCGGTGTAATGTAAATCCCGGTATAAGGTTGGGTATTTCTAGTGCTATAAGCTGGACTGAGCGGCCCGTTTAAGTTAGTTTTACTTAAAATTCAACTCACAAAACCTGACTTAAGCTCTCGCCGACCGCCCCATTCCTCCAATGCTTCCTAGTCGAGACCTGAATCGGTGTGGTCCCAGTCTCAGACTCAGTTTCTGTTTCTATTTCTGTTTCTGTTTCTGTTTGTGCCTCAGCTGCGACTGCGATTGCGGCTGAACGGTGGAAAATGCGACTGGACCTGGGAGCTCGGTCGTGTGCCGGGCAAAATGTTGTTTAACCAACATTTGCATTCTATGAATTTTGAATTTTCTGAAACGCAGCCGTAAGAAAGCGTCGAGTCACGACAACAACGACTATATGCCATGGGCTACAGAGGGTTCCGGGGTCCCGGCCCTCTATATGCCACGTTTCTGGGGTCCCTCGGCCCGATGTCAGACTTTTCGACTTGCCTATTGCTTATCTTATCAATGCGTCGACGACGGCAAACAAACGGAGTCACCCCCCAACGGGCAACCACCCACCGAACGAGCGGGCCTCATCACTTATCGGTCATGGTGGCTGGGAGGTTTTCAGTGAAAGGGGGGGTTTGGGAACAAAATTCCGGCGAGCTGCAGTTGCAATTGCGTCGTGCGGAGGGGACAGCTGCAATTGTTACACGGAAAAAAGCGATTCGATGACACATCACTCAAATATGTTCGTTATTTCTTCATATTTCCCAGAATTTGTGAAATGATTGGAGATTATTGATTAATCTACTTTCCTGACCTGAAAATTTCTGTTAAAAAATAGTTTTCTATAGTACTATAGTACAGTCATTGTAATTCTAAAGCTCATACTTTTGAAATATAAGTTGTTGGAAGAAGAATTGTACACATTGAAATTATTATCTTCAAAACCAACCTAATAAGTATATATTTTTAAGTACATGCTTAAAAAAGTACATATAGATCACATATATCCAAAACCATCATAATATTAATGGTCTTTTAGTAGATTCTTACAAATGTTAGGACCTTACAGTTTTAAAAGCGCAATAGTTAATACTCAAGTTTTTCTACCACATAAAAGGATACATTGAAGTTGAAATAATACATGTTTTAGAGTCTTGATAGTCAGCTTGTGAAAATAGTATTTATTTATTTATTTAATTAAGATGATAGTAAAGCTTACAAAAGTAATACTAACATAGGGGATGTAGTGCTAGCTACGAGGCCTTTGATGAAAATAGTATACTTTTATAGGCGTAATATAACCCTTACCAAAATTTCAAGGAATCCCCTTAAATATTAGATGTTAAAAATGTTTAGTATATATATTTATTCAAAATCAGTTCTGTAGTTTACCTCTGCGGGAGTCTTGATAACCTGATTAGGAAACTGGGTTTTATAATACATTATAAAAAGTATACTTTTTAAAAATTATATGAAGCGGAGAGTTTAAAAAACCCCTTGTATAGATGAGCAATTTCGGATATATTTTATCCAAAATCAGTTCTATAGTTTCCCTGTGCGTGGGGCCTTATCGAGGGGGTCTCATTAGCATGGCCGTGGCAGTGAAAGCCGTCGAGGGGGGATCCTGGGTGCCGTATCCCGAGTCTAACTCCCATTTATCAGCATTTTCCACACACTCGCCATGAGACGAATTCCAAAATCGATTCGATGTTGCTGCTGTGCTGTGCTGATGTTGCTGCTGCTGCTGCTTACACTTGGCCATAATGTCGCACAGGGAGTTCGAGACTCGACGGCAGTCTGGCATCCAAATGTGTTCCTTCCACTCAAACACACAGATACGCGGCACACACACACACACACACACAGGCAGAGGGGAGAGGACGTCGAGCAACCCTTCGCACATTTCCATTCCTGTCCCTTTCGCTGCGATTCGTTCGGTCTAGCGCTTTGAATTCAAACCCCCGTTTTTTCAAAGGACTAACTTCAAATGCCGAAAATAAATGCCCCCCCCCCTCCCCACCAAGCCTTGAATTTGCTCCCTCTTCGCCAAGGGAAATGCATTCAACGTACATAAAAAAGTAGAAGGAACGAAGAAATTTTAATCCACAACGGACCCGTATGTGTGTCCCCTGGATACCCCTGGGTGTGTGCGAGTGTATGTATGGGTGTGTGCGTGTCATGGATACACATTTCGTGAATGCCGCCCAAGGTGACCAAGGAAGGATATGTGCGAGGCACCACCATTAGCTCTGCCAGCTAGACTCTAGCACCCATGCTATAGGGCATATAGCCATAGCACCACCATCTGCAATCGCGACAAGGTTATCACAGCAGCCGCACACAACTACCTGCCTGCCAGTTCGAGCGGCGGATGTTGCATGCCACGGATCGCTTGGCGTGGAATGTGGAAACAGGTGTCCTTGAGCCGAGAGCAGGAAGCATTCGATGACTAATCGGGGAGCTGTGATATAGAGTTTCCCTGGGAAACCTCAGTGAAGTGGCTGGCTCTTCACCAGATCAGCTTGCTGTCTTTCGAGTTTCTCAGATTTTCGTAGGTTTATATTTTACAATCTATAGTAAATACTTGAATTTAACACATAAAGTGTAACTAAAACCCTTAAAAACAAATTATTTTTGTGAGAAAATAGAATTTATATGAGGGAATTTAGGATATGCACTCATATATTTAATTTTTTTTAATCCCCGTTTCTGTTAAACTTCAATCTGGATACAATTTTTAATACAGTCAAACTTCCTTAACTTGAACCAGCATCTGCCCCAAAAAAGTTCGAGCCATTGGTTCTTTAAGCTATAGAACTATTACACCGTATATTGCCACTAAAACCACAGACATAGTTCGACTTAAGGATACTTATAGTAATGAAAGGTTATATTACGAAAGTTCACCTATATTTATTAATACACAGAGAAAATGCTGAAATTCTCATCTGAGTTGAAAATGTTCTTAAAAATAGAAGGACATTTTTTAAGTTAAAAATGTTTTTATTTTGCTCGAATCAAGTTAAATTGGCGGTATATATGTACATTGTATAAATAAATTCAAACTCAATTTAACTTTTCTCTTCTCACCATTTCGTTCTAATATTAAGAACATTGATACCAAAGTGTACTTACACGGTTTTTAAGAACGAATGTTCTCAATTCAGGATCAATGTACTTTAATATTTCTCTCTGTGTAGATGCTAAGTAGTCTTGTCTTATGGATTGGATTACGGATTGGATTGGATATGATGGATTTCTTTCTACATTTTTATAAAAGATATTGGGTACTTGCATAATTAGGTGAAAGTGAATCGGCTAAAATAGTGAATCCAAACAGAGACTTGAAGGCATAATAACTATATAAGTACCTACAATACAAGATATTGAATTGCAAGCAAACATCGATTTCGACATGTATCTATAATAGAGTTTCGAGCTTAAAAACCCTTTCCTTCTTTTGGGAAAAGGGAAAATAGTAAAGCTATCGGAGTACCGCTAGTGGAATGTGAGCAAAACGGCAACATCAGTATCAGCAACAACAACAGCACCAGCGAATGTGAAACAAGCGCTGAGATACAGATACAAAACACTTATTTTTAATTTCGATGAATCAGCATCGGTTTGGTTCAGTTCGCTTTGGGTTCGGTTTTGGTTTTGGTGTTTTGGTATGGTTTGGTTTGGCTGAAATAAAATTCAGCGACGTCGCCGATGACTGCATGCCTCGGAAGACAGAAGACGGGAGAACGGAGAATTGGGGGAGCGGAGAACGGAGAACGGAGAACGGAAAGCCGAGAACAGGCGACAAAGGCAAAGGCGACAGAGAGACGACGCAAAACAAACTGAAAGAATGCACAAAGAGCAGACGACGATCGGTACTGGCGACGAATCAAAGCGAAACCTAAGGAGAAATGTTTAAAAAAACACTGGGGGAATATATCCCCAGTTGAGGGCCCCAGCCCCTCCGACATTCCAGAGAACCTACGCCAGTTGACAGCGATAAGGGGTTATCGTAGCCCTCAACGGTTGTATGTAGGTGGGTTCAGCCTCCTCGCCTGCTCGAAATTCTACACGTTTTATTCTCTTCCCGAAACCCCCTGATATTTCCCCAAAACCCATTCTATACTCCTTTGACGCATCACGAGGTTTTGTCTCGTAGAAGAGTAGAATATAACAATGTTCTGCCAAGGAGATGTTCCAAAATCAGGTAACATACACTTAGAAAAATATTTGAATTAAAATTTGAGATACTTCTTGATTAATTGGTATTTGGATAGTTTATTCGTGTGCTCTATTTTATGGAAATATTATGGTTATGGGTTCAGCCTCCTCGCCTGCTCGAAATTTTACACGTTTTGTTATCTTCCTGAAACCCCCTGATATTTCCCCAAAACCCATTCTTTACTCCTTTGACGCTTCACGAGTTTTTGTGTCGTAGAAGAGTAGAATATAACCATGCTCTGCCAAAGAGATGTTCCAAAATGAGGTAGCATACACTAAGAAAAGTTCTTAAGTAATACCGAAAAATAAAAGATATTAGATGGGATAAGAATTTATTAATCTATATATGATAGTTTATTCATGTGCTCTATTTTATAGATATTTGAATTATATTTCCAAGTTTTTTTTTTGATATTTGTTTGGTTTATAGTATTCGGCTTGAAGGGAGGTGTTACATATAAAAATAAAAGGCATGGTATTTAAACATTCTAAAGACGAAGTTTGTCTGGCTTCAAAATCTAGCTGATGTTGCTGCTTTCAACCCTGTTTATTGGGCAATCTTTCTTTCTCCGAGTGCCCGCTTTTGAGGAATATCACAGGCAGGCAGCATCCTTTTGTCCGAGGGAGAATAGAATGGCAGCGGAAGTGCTTTGTCGCCATTGATGTGACAACGACTTCCGCTGCCTCAGTTTGACCTGGCCAGCCCGTCATTTTCGTTGGCTTGGACTGCTCGCCAATATTGATTATTCGAGATTGCGTGCCATATGGGCTATGTGCTCTAGGCCCTGGGGCTCTGGGTTCTTCTTCTGGGCGGGAAAGGTGAGGAGTGGAGCATTGTGAGGGGGTGACTAAGTCACCGACAACGGCGCACATCAAAGGCTTCGTCAAAGTTCTCATTCTGGGCTCACGTTGCTGCTGTTGTTGCTGTCGTCATTTGCATTTTGGCGGGTTCCCAATGAGAAGCGAACGAAGGTCTCTCCAAATTGATTGTGAGCCGCAAAACCTGGGAAAGACCTTTGCATATGCATGTCAAGAGTTGTCGTTGTCCGGTGCTCGCCATTGTTGTTGCATGTTGCATGTTGCTGCTGGTGTTGCTGCTGCTCTTGCTGTTGGTGTTGCTGTTGCTGTTGCCAATATTGCTGCTTCGCCTGTTGCTTGGCTTCGCCTGGCAGCCGGGTTTCTGTGTCAGCCACCTGCCAGCCGGCCTGATCCGCCTTAGGATCTGAGCGACTCGTTTTTAGCCCCTCGAACCGCATCTGCCCCCTGTATCCGCAATCTGCTCCTGTTAATTGCAAAGGCTGGCCAACGCCACGCCCCGAAATGAATATTAAAATGTGTTGCAACTTGCAATATATACCAATAGCACATAAATAAATTTAAACCGTTGACCACCGCAGCCAGGAGACAGGATAGCACTTCCTTTTAACCGCAGAATTATCATCGAAAAGGGATCAACGGCAGCTGAATTTTGTAGTGTCATTTCAGATGCTCTGAATATGCAAAAAATATCAGATTAAGGAAAGTAGTGTAGCTAAAGGGTTAATATTAGGATCTCTAGTTAATAGAACTGATAAAATTATAATTAAGTTAAGGCTGTTTTTTATAAAAAAATGTATATGGTGGCTTATGGGAAAATTTTTAAAGCTTAATTATTGCAACAAAGCCATGGCCATATGGGCATTGTCTTAACAATGATTTGTTTTTAAACAAAAAACGTAGTGCTACGACCTCTAAAAGTAAAAAAACTAAACTGCATAAAACCGTATCACTTCAATCCCTGCAAAGGTAGCTTTCGTTAAACTAAAATTTTTTGGACAACGTAAGGAAAATGCATTTAAACCTATTCTCTAGCTTATATTATTCCAAATTCGAAACTCACAAATTGGGAACAACTTTAAATTGTAATCTTTGTTTGTTACTGGCTAAATTGGCACCCAAAAAATGGAAAAAGATACGTCTGCTTCAGGCCTTAGGTAAACTAAGGGTATTATGTTTTGTTATTGCTGGCTAAATTGGCACCCGAAAAATGGAAATATATTTGACTGCTTCTGGCCTAAAGTAAACTAAGGGTATTACTTTTGCATAAAAATAGGCAAGCAAATCAAATGTAACCAAATCATTATCCGCAGCCACACAAAAATGATGTGCGTGCAACAAAAATGCAATCGGAATCGGAATTGCTGATGGCGATGTGTTGCTGTTGCTGCCGTTGATGGAGTTGCTGTTGCAGTTGCAGCTATTGCTGCTGCAGTTTGTTCAGTACATGGTCGGAATATATTGTATATGCTTAATGGTGGGCGGTGGGGCGTGTGCGTGTGCTTTTGAGGGGGGGTGAGCCTGTTTTGGGGTTGCATTTGGTGGACAGGAAACTTGATAAGTTGCCCAGCACAAAGGAAATGCATGAAATGTGCATGGAATGCACTGTCTATGTGGTTGCCATGCGTGTGTGTCTGTTTGTTTCTGTGCAGATAATTGCAATGTTTGATTATCTCATGCCTGCCCCAAAATGTAGGCAATAAATTATTAATCTTGTATTTGATGTGTATTTTTTTATTTTTTGGTTTCCTGTTTTAAAATTCCTAAATTCCCTAAATATATCAGTGAAGGTCCTAGGTTTCAATTTTGTTTACCCATTTTTATGACTTATGAGCCCTTTTTGAGCTGCTTAACTTTAGCACGACCGTTGTGTTTTCAAAACGTATTTCAAGCTCATTCAGCCACTGAGAGATACATTCAGCAGGCCCTCACACAGATACTACTCACCAATACCCGTGCCACAGGGAGAGAACTCTGCTCTCTCTCTCTCCGTCTCTCTCTTTGGACTACACTACCCACCACTAGGTTGGCAGCGGTGAAGTTGGAGGGGGGTAAAATCCGTACCAGAAAGTATCTCAATCGCTCGACCCGCTCACATCCACTCGATTTTCTTCATTCTTGCCGGGGCGATTGGCCCCGCAAAGTTTCGTATTCGTTGCCAATGCCTCTTTGGGCCACATTTATACGAGACATTTTGGTGGCGGACGCGCCATAAAGTAGCGGATTCTTTTATCTGCCGCCTGCCTGTGTTGAATTTCATCGATTTTCAGATACTTTTCGGGGCGGCGCGCCAGCAAGTATGGGGAAATGTCAAACGCTCGATGGCGTGGCGGCGAATTCGCTACTTGATGGCTGCCTCAAATGGGCGCTGCGCCCCCCGCCCCGCCCCCTTGGAGCCGTAGATGTTGTAGCTGTAGCTGTAGATGTATCCGTAGCTATAGCCATATAGCTATTGCTGGAGCTGGCCGTCTTGCCTGGCCGCCTTGCCTTTAGTTGCCTTTGCCGTTGCCGTTGTCGTTGCCGTCGCCGTCGCCTTCCCTCCATGTTGCTCCATTCTGCCAGGGCTGCAATTGCCGTATTCTATATAGTACTCTGCATATATACTATTCCCGAGCATAAGTTACTTCCAAATATTGACTACCTCCAACTGTGTAGTATCTCAAGATATAGTCCTACATAATTTCTCTGTTTTTAAGGCAAATCATTAACTTTCAGACTAACAGCAGGCTTTTAATCAATCTACAGTACTACCAATAATAAACATACCTTCTTTATAAACATTCCAAAGACTGTTTACTTTATCACACCAGAGAATTTCTTACGAACCCTTAACTTAGAAAATCATTTAAAGAGTTTATACTCAATAAATATTTTGTTTAATTAAAAAATTTCCAGATGGTTTATATAACAGACATACTAATTCAGACATACCCAAATTCAATGTTACCAACTCTTTGGTTCTCGAAACTATTGTCCAGCCTGTTTTGTACTTTGTACTCCCCCGGTAGTTTTATACCCTGCACTTGGGCGGAGGGGCCGGATTCTTATCGGGCCTCCGTCAGCTGTACAAACCGAAAAATATCATTTAATTTTCGGTGTTCCCTGATAAGAAAGCAAACTTAACTCTGATCACAGATAGGCGCTGATTCGCTTTCCGAATGACCCATTTCGGAACTGAGCGATGGTCAAAACTGTCCCGAAATAGTGCTGTTTATGATTGATAGAGTGACTATCCTAATACTTAATCAATCGTACAGTTAAAGTTATGTAAAAAACAACAAATCTTTAATTTGTTTTTAGATCTATAGAAAATATAATATATGAGAGTGCTTTCCCCATAAGCTTTGGGAATTTACTGTGGTTCATCCCCTGATATAAGGCATGCGTATATCTATAACAAAGGATTGTTTTGTAAGAAAATAATTAACCCATATGACAGAGTATTCATTCTTCATGGAGGGCAGTATGGGTTTCCGGGAACTTACTGGTTAGCTTCCCCGGGGTCGCCCCGTGATATGTCTATAAATAAAGCCCCCAATGCAGTTGGTTCAGCTGTTCGTGGGAGTCCAACTTTGGGGACCTTCGCGGGTGTCAATGCTATAGAGTAGTATACTCCAATATTTGTTCGGATATTTCGGAACTGCCGCAGCCCTGGAATCTTTGGCTGTTTGTGCTGCGCTGTCGCCTGGCAAGTATTTTTCTTTCTTGGACTTGGACACATAGCGTTCGTCCGTGAATTTTCTTCCCCGTCAGCAGCTGCAAATACAGGGTGCCCCACCGATCGCGTACCGCCCCCTCCCCTCTGTATGCCCCCCCTCTTTCAAAACAAGCAGACGAACTTCGCCCCAAGGCTGGGCCGCCGTTTCTCCACTTCTCTGGTTTCCCAGCACGCAGCGGGGAAAAGCAACAAAAATATTGTTTTTTCTCTCCAGTTGCTCGTTGCTCGTGGCCCTGTATTCCCAAATATATGTGTGTGTGTGTTTGTGTGGGGCAACTGAGCGTGTGTGCGTGCAAGTGTGCGAGAGTTTAAGCTTAAAGCTATTGTACACTTGGTGTGTCGTGTCTGCCCTCCCCCTCCCCCAACCTCTGCGCCCTCCTGCCTTTCTTCTCGACCGCCCCGGCTCTTCTTCGGGCTCTCCTTCGTCCTCGGCGGCCTGTCGCTGTCCTTTCAGCCAGAGCCAGCAGGCAGCCAGCAGGATGGAGCGGCTTAGGGTAGTTGGGTTGCCCGATGGAGGGATACGCTTTCTTAAATCCATTTTTAGGGATCCAAGTACTTTATCCTAAGTCTAACTGTAAGGTGTCAACATATGCTCTAGAGATTTCAAATCCCTTAAAAAGACACCTAAAAGTATGCTGTACAATGCTCGAAATTTATCAAAGCATACTTTAAGACACCTTTATTATAACCTCTGATTAATAAGATTAATTTTTCTTGTGTTATAATATATAACCAAAATTATTATTATTATTATTATTATCTAAAGTTAAAACTTTAAGCTAACAGTGGGTTTATTCTAAAGCTATAGCAGCAAAATGCCTTAAGCTCGCTTATGGTAATTTTGTAGAGATGATATAACCAACATAAAGCTCAAGTTATCCAAGAAGTTTTTATAAATGAAAAAGGACCTTAAAACGCTACTCCTTAAGTTTTAATCTCTATAGAGAGAGTGCCGTGATTTTAATTCGGTCCATTTGATCTCAACTTTATGTATGTATGTTTGAAAAGTTATTATCAACATTTTGGTAATTTGAGAAGTTAATGTTCGATAATCTCTATTGAAAGCTAACTACTAATCAAGCAGTTATATAAGCAGTTTTACTATCTGATATACCAAATGTACTCAAAATGATCTTGTACAAAAATTAACCATTTTTGTTTCAAATATTTATTACCGATTTTCAATCCTCTGTTATGGTTCGGGATTTAAAATGTGTATAAAAGTATGCTGTAAATAGTTATTAAATTTAACCTGTGTTATATAAATATATCGTAGCGTAGTTTTAAACACCTTCGTAAGTAATACTTTTGAATAATCATATATAAAAACGATTGTTTTCACATTTGTATTTTCTTTTAGATGTGTAATTTATAAAACATATACATATGTACGTAATATATACATAAATCGTTTCAATAGATATCCCCGACATGGTTCAAAATGCTATGCTATATTTGAATTTTTTTTCATTGATTCCCCGAAACCTATTCGTCTCAAGTTCCAATTCGGTTTGTTCTTCACAGAAAAGTGTAGTTACCCTTTTGGGTTAGGGTGTCCCACACTAACGTTGCCTTTGCTGTTGCCAGTGTCGCCATCACCATCGCCATCGTAGTCATCGTAGCCAGCTGCCTCTGCCTGTGCCCTGCCTTGGCACGCCCCCTCCACAGCCCCCGCCCTCGGTTTCCATCCGCTGTCTCTGGTTCTACTGTCTCTGGTCCTACGCTTTTGCCAACGCATTTTTGTTTTGTTTAGAGCGCAAGTTATGCGGGCGCCAAGGAGGAGAATTCGAGAGCAGGAATCCGGGAGGATGGAGGAGATGCAGATGGGTGGGCAGATGGGGAATACCTCTTGGTACTCGACACATGCCGACAGGTATCGAAAATGTTACCCAAAATGCAGCTCAGCGCGTTCGCAG